AGAGCGAGAAGCCCTGTAAAGGCATTATCAGATCAATCGCGTCCCACATCTCTTGACTCCCCTGCTTGCTCTGTTCCATGTGTTTCTGTGCCATCAGTACTGCCCTCGCGCACTCAATGAACCTTCCCTTCTAACGTCAACAGCATTGCGCTCGTCAAGAATGAAATCCGCATTGTCCAGGCCTCCCTCCTCGGCTCGATTCTGGCCAACTTGCTACTCATCTTGGGCATGTCCTTCCTCCTCGGCGGTCTGCGCTTTCGAGAGCAGGTAGGTGTTGTCTGGCTACCGTGATTGCAGCTCAAAACTAACAAATGCAGATCTACAACAGCACAGTGACTCAGATGAGCGCATGTCTTCTTAGCTTGAGCGTTATTAGCCTCGTCCTACCGGTATGACTCTCCGAGGAACTGTCCCGTTGTCAGAAGGCTAACGAAACCGAGTAGACTGCCTTCCACGCCTCATTCAGCGACAGCAAGCTGGCTGATGTCCAGTCTCTCAAGATCAGCCGCGGAACCAGTGTGGTGAGCATCGCCATGACACGTCCTGCAGCTGATTCATGTACTAACTTCTGCAGATTCTGCTGCTGGTATATATCATCTACCTTATGTTCCAGCTCATGTCGCATTCCTACATGTACGAGTCGACACCGCAGCACATTATCGATGAGGAAGCTACGCCCGGTCCCGTCGCCGGATGGCTTGACTCATCCAGCTCGGATAGCAGCTCTTCCAGCGACTCGGACTCATCCGACTCTGACCGCTCGCGTGAGACGGTATCGAAGCGGATGAAACGCGTCATACGAGGCAACCGCCGCCGCAAGTCGAGCGTCGTGTCGATTGAGACAGGTGACGGCATCTTTGTCGGACCTACCCGGACCCCTTCCTTTGGCACTACAGAGGAGCATGACCAGGTTCCTTTCGAGGAGTCGTCTCGCCCTGCGCGCGCCCTTGCAAACCTCGGTGTCGGTCCTCTCGAAGGGAGTGAGGAGGCCGTGGAAGATGAGCGAGGCAGCGGACACAAGAAGCGCCGCCATCACCGCCGCCACCGACATTCGATGAGAAAGTATCGCAAGCACAAGAGCAAACATGCTGGTTCCCAGGAATTTGTTGGTCAAACCATACAGGAGAATATCGAGATGCAGACCACGCCACCCCTTGCCGGTGAGCCTCGCCGTGTCGACTTCGCCGTTCCGAGCCCCAAGCTGCCTCGGGACGAAAACAAGGCCGAAGGCTCCGGTCTGCCCACACGCACTCCGTTCATCGGCCTGCGCGGCATGTCGTTTAGACCAGTGGCTAAGAGCCTCGCGCCGGCGGTGTTCATCCAACCAGCGGATGCTATGATGCCTACCCTCCCGGTTGGTCCGGTTCCACGTGTTCGTTACGGGATCCGCAGAACCAACTCTCTCCCCGACCGACTGAACCAGTACTACCAACGCCAGTCTGGAGCCATGATGCCCTCGCAGATCCCTCTTGCAGCTGTGGCCAACGGCGCCGTCGCGGTACCTGGTGAGGACCCAGATGCCCTTTCTCGAACCAGCGCCGTCTTTCTCCTGCTCATCTCGACCGCCCTCGTCGCCGTGTGCGCCGAGTTCATGGTAGACTCGATCAATGGCCTAGTCGAAACCAGCTCCATTGGCGAGATCTTTATCGGTCTCATCATTTTGCCCATTGTCGGCAACGCCGCTGAACATGTCACGGCTATCACAGTTGCCATGAAGAACAAGATGGACCTGGCGATCGGCGTGGCGGTGGGCAGTTCTATTCAGATTGCCCTCTTCATTACACCGCTGATTGTCATAATCGGGTGGGCCATGGACCGCGAGATGACGTTGTACTTTACGCTGTTTGAGACGGTGTGCTTGTTTGTGTCGACGTTTATTGCGAATTTCTTGGTGCTGGACGGACGCAGTAACTACCTCGAGGGCGCGCTCCTGTGTGCGACGTATGTGATTATCAGCCTGGTGGCGTTTTTCTACCCGGATGATACGCAGACCAGTTCGTGGGGTGCTTAGGGGGCCTAGGGTTGTGGTGTTGACGTTGGGGAATAGGGGTGGCTTTGGAGGCGGCTCGGGAGGGTTGACATGAAAATAGGCTGTGGAGGATCGATTTGATGGCTGGATGTTGTTTTCTTTTCAGATTTACGCTAGCCTGCTAGCTTGATGTTTTTTATCTTCTTCTCGGTGTGACTTGGTCACCACCACGGGCCATTCCAGGCTGATACGACTAGGAAGGAGCCCGCCATTCACATACAAGTTGTCAGATCTTTAGCTTTGGAAATAAATACCACCACATTCGTTGACAGCGGTTCAAGTTGAGACGACGGGTAGCTTATGTGAGTTGGACAAGTGTGACAAGTGTACCTCGGGAGTGACAGGCCCTCTTCCTGCGTGGAAGGATCAGATGACGGTACCTTCTCGACGTTGAGATGGATGGATGCTTGTATGGGATACGATGAGGCGTAACGGGGCGCCAAGGTTCGCAGATGGCTCTCCTCATCACAGAGTGGGCCAATTGGGTGCTAGGAGACCCCTGAAAACGTCATTTACGGGGCAATGCGGGGGCTGAAGGAGGCCGCCGAATCGGTTAATCGCGACCTCGGGACTGCACATAACTATTGCTTTGTATCAGTTCGCCTTGGTTGCATCGGTGGGGTTTGCACTGCCTGCATTTGCCTTTGGTTGCGACGACCCAACTTTACCAACCGAATTTCCAACCTTGTTTGGTGAGGCGCTCTTGTTGCTCACCTAGTTTCCCTTCTCGCGCGTATCTTGCGTATTCCCTGCCATCTGCAAGTTTGCGTTGGGTTTATCGGCCGTGTGACAAGACCTGCCAACATTACAGAGGTTACTTAAAGAGGAAGGATCTTGGAGTTGCATCGTCACCTCACCAACGCAAGCTCGTCCACGTCCACGGGATAACGAGGCGCAAACAGCGAAACTCGAACGCCCAACTTCCACAACCAAAACCAACCCAATTCCTCTGCTCTGATCGGCGACACTTGTTAAATACCGCCATTGCACCGCCCAAACCGCCACCATGTGTTTCGGCAGCAAAAACAAGCTCTACGACAACGACGAGCTGCCACGTCCAGTGCCCGGCCACGCCCCGCAGCAGCCGACATACGCAGACCCGGCTCCGAAAGCCAGCATGCCGCCGTCCTACTCCCAACCGCAGCAGCCCGTATCTCCCATCTACTCACCTCACCCGCTCTCGCCAGTCTACCAATCCCCCACCATGCCGCCGCCAGGCCACCAACAACAACAACAATACCTCCCACCGCCCGGCCCCCCGCCGGTCGAACTCCCAGCCGTCTCGCAAACCTCACCGCCGGTAGAACTCTCAGGCGCCGACATCGCGCCCCCGCCGGGCCCGCCCCCCAATCGCGGCGGCAGCAACACCGACTACGCGCCCCCACCGGGCCCGCCCCCGGCCAAGAGCGACAACGACCTCTCGTACATAGCGCCGCCGCCGGGCCCGCCGCCGCCGCCGGCCTCGTCCAAGCCAAAACACGACTGGGAGTCCCTCGTGCCCGACACCTCGCTCTTCCCGCCCCCGCCCTCCTTCTTCTCCGGCTTCGACCGCAGCCCGGCGTCCAACGCGACCGAGGCCGAGGCCGAGGCCGGCGAGCGCTGGTGCGCGCAGTTCCCGCTGACGCCGCCCCTGACGCTCGACGCGGCGGCGCTCGGCGCGCTGCGGGCGCACGACGTGCGCCTCATGACGCCGGCGGTCGGGTGGAAGGGCAGTCTGGCGTGGCGGGCGCCCGGCGTGTGGGAGGGGCGCACGGACAAGGCGGCTACGGACAGCACCGTGATCGCGTACCCGCCGCTGTACGCCGTGCAGCAGCACGAGCCGGGGCGGAGCGCCGCCGGGGTCCGGACGGTGTACTACGAGGTGGCGGCGGTGCAGGACGGTGGCAAGGGGGACGTCTGTCTGGCGCTGGGGTTCACGGCGCTGCCGTACCCGAGCTTCCGGATGCCGGGGTGGCACCGCGGCAGCCTGGCGGTGCACGGGGACGATGGCCACCGGTTCGTGAACGACCGGTGGGGCGGCAAGTCGTTTACGCAGCCGTTCCGGCGCGGGGAGACGTACGGCATCGGCATGACGTTTCGGGCGGCCGGCCAGGGGCGGATCGAGACCGAGGTGTTTTTCACCCGCCAGGGACGGCTGGCCGGCAGCTGGAACTTGCACGAGGAGGTGGATGCCGAGCAGGACTTGCCGGTTACGGGGCTCGAGGGATACCACGACCTCAGCTGCGCTATTGGCACATACAAGGCGGTGAGCTTTGATGCCATCTTTGATCCCGCGAGGTGGCTTTATCAGCCCCCGGTTTAGGGACTGGAAAGGGGTTGACGTGGACGGTTTGTCTCTTCTAGGGGGGTAATGCATTGCGGCTTGGTTGTTTATCTTCTCACGGTGCCGGCAACGGTAACCGGTGGCAGCACATAGGAGCGGAGGGAGCCCAGAGTGATATGTACATTTATAGACGATGGTAGGCAGGTATGCTAAGGGAGCGGAAGCAAATAACCCGTAGAAGGGTCTTGAACGTGTTACATGGGTGTATTTTTCGGGGTTTGCAAGAAGGTCTAGAAGTATGAAGTGTTTGAGAGCGAGAGCACGAGCACATATAGCACTCCGTGGGATACTTGCTGACTGAATCAATCTCCAACCAATTGGGAAGTGATCATTTTGTCGAGACGACTGACCACTTTTCCCGCCGTGAGTTCCCATATGTCCACTCTCGTTTTCCCATTCTACATACCCTGTGAAAACACATGAATCCCACCAGCTCCACCCCCCTCCCCACAACCTGACCCAACCCAGCCGACTCGTCAGACAGCATTACGGACCCGAAAGACTAATCGAGCCATCTAGTAGCTGGTTACGGCCCAAGTTTCCCTTAGGATAGCAGTGCTGTTCTTTAGTTTTATGAGGTAAAGCGAATGATTAGGGACTCGGGGGCGCTATATTGCCCTTCATCGAATCTCAGCAATCCCACAAGAAGCGCCAGTGGTTTAGTGGTAAAATCTATCGTTGCCATAACACCGCAACATTCGATGGGCCCCGCGTCCGATTCGCGGCTGGCGCAAGTAATCTTTCCTTTTGACCTTTGTCAATACTCCCCCCTTTTTCCCCAGCCCTTCCCCTTCCCCCCATAACCCAACGCCACGGCACCATGAACCGTGAATTTTAACATAGTCTTCTGAGGGAATCTCGATGGGCCCCGCGTTCGATTCGCGGCTGACACAAGCTCTTCCTTTTTGCCGATGCTGGGCGAGTGTTCTTGTGGAGGGAGGGAAGTGGGGATGGCTTCAATTTTCTTTTTTTAGGCCAGGGGGCTTCCTTCCTCCTTGATCCCATGATGCGAACAAGGTTTTTCAAAAACACACAAAAACAAATCGCGCCAGTGGTTTAGTGGTAAAATCCATCGTTGCCATCGATGGGCCCCGCGTTCGATTCGCGGCTGGCGCAAATCTTTTGTTTTGGTTCGTTTGGTTTCGATGGCGGATTCCTCCTATTTTGTCGCTGGGCGTGATTCAGGGGGTTGTTGGTTGTTCCTGCTTGGTCTGTTGGGCGCGTGTCCGGATTACCGTTGCTGTTTTCTTTTTCAGCATGTGATCAGGGCGTAGAGAGTACATGTGACTGATCATGAGCTCGGAGGGCCAGCTGCTAGTTCTGGTCGAACAAAAGGGGCAGCAAAAACAATGCTTCTCTCAAAGCCAAACAACAGCGTCCAAGGATATAAACACCCTTCGCAACTCCCCAGCACCAAGGCAAGCGTCTGATTCGCCATCAAACCGCCATCCACCCTCAACTATCGTAGTCGATACAATAGTCATTCCCTGAGCACTACGGTTGTCGAGCGGATGCTCCAAATAAACAGGAACCAGGATGTTACTTTTGGAGGGGCACCACAATCAGTGGTCGAGCGGCTCAAGTTATCCGTACCTACCAGCGTTTCTTTCGGGACCACGAAGGTCTCCAAGCACCGACACAAGCGATCGCACGGCAAGTTGACACTGGGGGAGAATAATATTCTTCTATGCTATTACGATCAATGTATAAGGATTACGTGAATGCTGGCGGCTGTTTTCCCGCCGCGTTAAGAGGCAGCTTTTCCACCACGCCTGATCAGCCCTTACTGCGATCGTCCTCCGCTGATCTGTCCACCGCCGAGCCTGTCGAAGTCATAGCGAAGTCGCTTGAGCCATTCACCGCCCCCCCCGGCCTGCAATGTTTCGTATCCTTCTCTTGTCCACCATTCGCAGCGTCCGTTATCAAAGTCATCCCGTTTCAAAGTGAGGCCCTCTGTCATATTGGACAGTCTTGGTTCCCAGACAACGCTCTTACTTCCATAATTGGGCCAGCGTTCGGTATTGGCCGCGAGTATGTTGGGAATACCGTTGTGGATGAAGCTCAGGAACCGGAGTCGGATCTGCAAGAAGGGATGGAGTATTGGGCGGAACGAGTCTGCATCATCCAAGTACAAGTTCCTCAGTGACCCCTGCAGGAATATGGGCGAGTCGTAAACGTATGTACTGTTTGGCAGCGCATGGGCGAGGCTTCTGGCGTTGCATCCCGCCATAATCTCCCCCATCATACGGATAGCAGAGAGGTACTCGGTACTGGCACGGCGGAGTCCCGGTACGTTCTGCAGCGGCAATCTTGTCTGCCCCTTCGTAGACGTGAGCGATATGAGATCGCCGCGTACCCTGTCACTGTACAATTCCCTACGAATCACATCGAGGGTTTCGTTCGAATATCCGTGCAGAATTGTGGGGAGATATGAGTCCATTTCCTCCTTTGAAGCGGCAATGGGGACATATGTGATCCCGTCGTTTACGGCGTGTCCAACAACCAACTGCCATTGTCAGCAAAGCTCGGTTCTGTCGAGCATAGGTAATAGGAATCACACTGACCGAAAGCGAACGGTTAAATTTACCATCTCGGAGCAGCACTCCGGGGTGATCCGGGACGAAGTCGCCGCCAACAACGGGACCGAACATTGTTAGGAGGGGAGGCGCCAACTTGACCACCTCTCGGTTGATTTTCATCAAGGTAGCCGGGTCCAATCTGTGAAGCTTCCCAGGGTATGTATAGGCTCTCATCATTATCTTTGTTGCTTCCAGCAGAACTTTTTCTTGGGTAAGAAACATGTTGGGGGTAAACAGCCATTCGGGGCTGATGAGTATAGCCCTGGAAAATGGGGTGGTGCCTTGCGGATTGTAGGGAGAAGGATTCGGGTTGGCTTTGCCGCCGAAGGCTGTGACATGGTGCTAGATACGGCCAGGTTAGCACAAATGGAAACATCAGTCAAGGTTCGATATGCATACCATTATAGATGCTGCGCCCGCGCCTTGTCCCACGAGAGTAACACGATTGGGATCTCCGCCAAACTTCTCGATATGGGCCTGAACCCATTCCAAGGCAAGCCTCTGGTCCCAAAGTCCAGCGTTTACCGACTCAGGGTCGTCACTGAACCAACCAAACAAGCCAAGCCGGTCTATTCGTCAATGGTTAGTGCACTGTGCCTGTGAACATGTGGTATAGTCTGAGGCTGCAGAGGAGAGGTTGTCTAGGGGCACGCACAGTTGATGGAGACCGAGATCGGAAAATCAGATGCGCAAGCATGCGACCAAGGAGCATGACGTGTCAAGGCTGCCCAATTGATGCCGTTGCTTGCCTCATCCTTGTGTCCTGTGTTCTTGGTTAGTGACGCCGAAGACCACCGTGCCCTTCCACCAATACATACCGTATATAAAGGGGTGAGAACCGAATGTTACCACCACCGGAGCTGCCAGAAAATCAGTCCCATGGGGTTGTTAGGGCCGGGTCTCAAGGTTATCCTACCGAGGGTTGTGCCGGTTCCTGGACAGGCCTCCTTTTCGAAGACGCGCTTCGGTACAAAGACATCGAGAAATAGACAATCCTCGGTTTGGCGAGGATCCTTCATTTGTTTTTCATAGAAGGACCCGCACTGCTGGATCATGACCTTGTCGGGTGACATCTTCTCACCATCCTTGCCAATTCTTGATGTCGCTATTTCACACATCCAGGCAGGGAAAGCCTGTGGGGGTATGGGAGCAAAGCCTGTGTTGCTGAAGAGGGGGTCATCGTCGGTGTAGTTTACGGCGACAGGGCGGCGGAATCTGGCAACAGTGGGCGGCATAGGCGGCATAGCGTAGCGGACATTGGAGAAGTTGTAGAAGCCGCCGCGCTCCTGAGGTTGCATGTCAGTGATGTGACCAAGGATGGGGTGGAAGATAGGGAGCTTGCATTGTATTCGCCCGTGATCTTCACCCCGCCAATTTGCACGTGAGGTGGTTCCGTCTTGGGATCATCAAGAGCTCGCTGTGGGACGTCTATTGGTGAGGCGTGTAGAGTGGAAACAAAGACCGCACCCTAGGCGGCCAGGGAGAGCCGCTGGAGTGTCTTCATGGTACTGACGGGCAGGCAGAGCAGGGTGGTCTGGCGTGGCGTGATACTGGTGTGAAGGCCCAAAAGAAGGGATAAGATGAGCTGGGTGGGCCGTAGCAATGACTGGAAAAGTGATGTGGGCTGACGATGGAAATGGAAGAGAATCAGAGTTCGGAATTGGGAGTTGGGAACTGGGTGATAGTCAAACATGCCAATCTCGCGCGACGCAAGAACACTCTGCATCCATCTTCCCCTGATCACCAGGAAAGTGCCGCTTTGGTATACCAGAAGGAGAAACCAAGTGGGGTGTGAACATTTGGGGAAGCCACAACCTAACACAACCAAATGATTCCAAAGCACGTAGCTAGCCCCTGAGCGACGAGCCAATAGCAACAGCATGGGGAAGTAGCCACCGCTGCAAACCGCGAGCGCTTTCCCAGTAATTCGAATACAGCTGGACAGTCTCCCACCCCCCCCCCCCCCCCCCCCCACCCTGAACCACGACTATCTACACCACCACTCCCTCCCCTCCCTCCTTCTCCAACTCCTCCATCACAGGCCCCAACACCCTCCCCACAATACTCTCAAAAGCCTCCCTCTCAATTTGCGCGCCATAGTGCGGACACTTGACCACCCCAACGAACTCCTTCTTCAGCTCGTCCAGCACCTCCCTGCGTAACAACAACTCCATAGGAAACCTCGCCGCGAGCTCAAACCACGCCTGAACTGGCGTGATCTCGAGCTCAGACGCGCTGTTGACCGCACACGCCAGCCCGTACAGGTTCTGCAGGGTCAGATCCGGCGCCTGCCACTCAAGCGGCTCGACGGGTGCCGCAGTGTTGACGACGTCTTCGTACAGGTCGGGCCGCTTTACTGGGGACCATGGGCCCTGCCCTGTGCGCGCGGCTTCGCGGAAGACGGGATCCGGGGCGGTGCGGAGACCCAGGGAGGTGGCCATGAGGACGTGGCCGGTTTCGATGGCGGAGGGGTCGTCTGTCGAGGGGTCGTTGTAGGAGGGCAGGAAGTGGTCACGGCAGTTGTGTTCGAGGCTGCAGAGGGTTAGTGGGTAGTAGGTAGTTGCGAGGCAGGGGGGGCTTACGCGAGGATGAAGTTGATGGCTTCTTGGGTTTGGGAGGGCGTTAAGCTGCACCCAGCTGGGGCGGCTGGGTCTGGGGTGAAGGGAGCCGTGTTTGGCGTTGAGTAGTGACTTGGTGGTGAGTTGCTCATGCGGTAGCTTGGTAGGCCCATGGCTTCGTCGAAGGCGAGACTCATTGTGATGTCGTCGAGATCTTGAGGATCGAGCTTGAACCCGAGATCTAGTGCGAGATCCATCTCGCTAGCAGCGCCGCTGCCAGGACCACCTGATATCGACTGGGGAGTGACAGCTAGGGTTGGAGATGTGGCCAGGAAGATACTACTGCTCGCAGCGGTTTGGCTTTGGATCTGAGCTCGTATAGCATCATTCTCACGTATGATAGCCTGTGTTTCCTGCTGTGTCTTGGCTATCGATGCGCGGAGCTCCGCAACGTCCATCTCGAGTTGCTTGACATAATTTTCCTTGCGTTGTCGGTGCTGTATCTGCGCCTTCCGCACTTGAGCTCGGCGTGCTTGAGCTTTCTCCTGAGCCGACGTCTTCTTTGCCGTCTCGGCGTTGCTGGCTATCAAACAACA